CACAGGGTGATAGACGTCAATGCAATATTACACAAACACACGGTGATAGACGTCAATGCAATATTACACAAACACAGGGTGATAGACGTCAATGCAATATTACACAAACACAGGGTGATAGACGTCAATGCAATATTACACAAGCACAGGGTGGTGGACTTCAATGCAATATTACACAAACACAGGGTGGTAGACGTCAATGCAATATTACACAAACACAGGGTGATAGACGTCAATGCAATATTACACAAACACAGGGTGATAGACGTCAATGCAATATTACACAAACATAGATGGCGGCCCCCATATAGTAAATATCGTATTTATTTTATTATCACGTGTGCGCCAGCTGACTGTGGTATAAAGTGCAAAAAATATGCCAGGATACAATTTATTATGAATCCCTTATCAGCACAATCTTGTACAAAAAACTGCATAAACATAATACTTGCGTTGGTCGTGTATTATATTTTATTATTATTTTTATTTATTTTTTATTAGACGCATAAAATCCTTAGGAAAGGATAAAAAGGGTCTTACAGAAAGAAATTAAAAAAAAAACTTCTAAAAAACTTCTAAATAAATTAACTTCTATTTTATTTACACAAAATTGAGTCACCTTGTTAACTACAGTCAAAGTCCATGTAAAGTACCAGTCACCCACTACCCACTCTAAAGACATATTTATCGTTAAAAGTTGCCAAATCAATCGTACTTCCAGTGAAGTTGCTGTCCCACCCTGAGTGTTGCAGCTAGTCAGCGTAAGCCATGTTAAGATTTGTCTCTCTAAGTATCCTGGTGTTGTGTGTCATTGTGTACAACACACTGTGCTTCGAACTCCGTGAATTGGACTGGTGGCAGAGCAATGTTATATATCAGATATATCCACTATCATTCAAAGACTCAGATGGCAATGGGACTGGCGATTTGAATGGTAAACAAATTTAACATATCCAATTATATATAGCCATAAAAGTTCCTATGCAAAGTGCAATTTTTCAACGTTTGACCTAAACATTATCATTATTTTGAATCTGCGTAACACGTGTTTTTATTGAAGTGTCACTTTAAACGCGTAATTCCTAATCAAATACTGGTTTGCTGAAACAGTGTAGCAAAAAACATTGACTTTTTGACGTTACCCATAGTCAGTGAATTGTTTGGAGTCCAAATGTTTGTAACACGCATACTTAGCCAGTCACGTATCAGATAAGTAACCGGATGACAAAATAAACACAAATAGTACGGACAAACATATTTAGAATATTCAGTTTACAAATTTATCGACTAAGTGTAAAATGTACATGTTGACACTGTATTAGCCTTGAATTGAATGTGATGAACAAATCTGGCGTCCACGAACAAATATTTGAAATACGCTACTAGATTGGGTCAAAGAGGTATTATGCCAACGATAACACAGTGAACTTATGATTGTGATTTGTTACTGAGAGACGATTTTGAATACGTATATTTATTTGAACCCCCCCCCCAAAAAAAAACGTAGATCTTGGGAAAGCAAAAAGTTATACTCAACGGGTCATTCCAGTGTGACATTAATAATATATCAATGCCTGTGTGAGTTTATGTTGAGAATATGATGAGTCATTACTATGTCATTGGTTAATGTATTTTAGAGGGCGGGGTATGTCAAAGATTACGAGTGGCCTTTTCGCTGTGTAGTTGGATAAACAGTGTTAGTCAGCCATTTTGAAGTTTATATAATGTACAATTAGTGTATACATCTACAAAACGTGATTTGGAATTAAAATGACTCTCTATTACGTGTTAGTTGTCTCGGTGTACATAATATGAAATGATACCCTACCAATAAGTTAATTGTTAAACTGTTGTTAGTTGCATACTTTGGCTGTTGGGCGTCACTCTGAAGTCTCAATTGATTGATGATTAGAAGTGAATTGATGTGAAAGGTTGTTTTCCCATAGTAAAACCTACTTCATACAAGACGAATGCATGACCAAACAATTACTGTTACGTTCTCCTGCGCTGTTTATTAATTTGTGTATGGTATTTTTGCCCCGGGGGTCACTATATATGCTGTTACTACCCCCATGAGCGTTCCAAAATTAGCGGGAAAGCGGGGTGTTTTTCACCTTTTAAAGCGGGCCCGCGCGGAAAGCAAATAATAGGCCCTTTTGAAACTTTTGCACTTAAAGTAAATACAGGAAATAAATGTAATCTACATAATCTCTTCTATAATCCATGACATCAATAAGAAATCTTTTCTCAATTCTATCAATATAATTACCTTACAGTCATGTATTCAACACTCTAAAACATTTACCGAAAACAACGGGATTTTAATTAGTAAACGGTTCGTTTCGCGGCTAATTACAGATAATCGAAATCTGCAATCACGCGGCGAAACAAGGGTCTCACAGGTACAATAATCACAACTATCGGACGAAACTTTACCAGTATTTGTACCTTTCAGTCGTGTATAAAACATTTATCTATAATTAGCGAAACGAACCATTTACTAATTAAAATCCCGTTATTTTCGACAAATGTTTCATTGTGTTAAATACACGACTGAAAGGTAAATAAATATACTGGTCAAAATTAATCCCACAGTTGTGAATATCGTACGTGTCAGACCATTGTTTCGTTGATTAAAGATTTGTGATTATCTGCAATTAGCGAAACGAAACATATGTGTTTTAAATATTATTATTTTCGGTAAATATTTTGTAAATATTGTGCGTATAAACCCATTTTCACTGCTTACAGTTTAATTTTGATTATGTGTGGTATCCCGTCTCGTTTCGTTTCGTTTCGTCGGTTACAATAAACCGCATACAGAAAGTCACCCCCCCCCCCCGAGACACCCACATTTCCGAAACTCCTTTCGCGCCTCATTTGCATTTAGCTCTTGCTTTTCTGGGTTTTCTGCCCTGTATCATGCCAAAGTCACTCGGAGCTGAACATAAAATTGCGTAATGCTATCTGATGGAATAAGAATCCCGGCAAAGTTATGTGCATTGCGTATTAAACAACGAATGACACCAACAGGAGTTGCATACACAGTAACTTGACCACACTCCACTTGAGTGCAAAAACGGCAGAGAATCATCGCAATAGGGGGTATGGTTTGCCAATGTGTTGCCAGCCCTAGGGGCCTATTATTTTTTAGCAAGAACGCACGTGGTGTAAGGTTTTAATATTCAGTGACCCCCCGGGTATTTTTGACGCCCTGTTAGACTACGCGAATAGATAAATGTACTGTTTCTTTGTAAAAGATATCACGTTCACTTGTCTTTTTACGAGACGTTCCACAACAAAAGAGAGTGTTATCACGAAGGATACATGGAATCGGTTGATCTTACACTTTGTGAATATTAGCTACATTTTCGAAGATAAAATTTAACTCGTTCGCTCCAACAAATACTGGCATTGCAAATTTTTCATACTGGCAGAGGCCGACGCCTACATCCTTCCGACTAACACACGAATCATGTATTAGAGAAGTAACTTATGAGGTTGTCATTCTAAATAATCTATGACCTTGTCATTGGGATATAACCGCGCAACTTCTCACTTACTCATACCTCATGGTTTTAAATAACTTTACGCATGAAGTAGTAATACCGACCACTATGATGAGTTTACCGGGGCCAAAACTGACTCAAACTCCGGTTTAAAGACAATTCGATGATAGCCATATATATGTCCACTCACGCTCAGATATTGTCTATGACGATCACAATAATAACCTCAGTGCAGTGACACATATACTTTGGTTTGGTTTGTAGGTATCACGTCGAGGTTGGACCATTTCCTGGATATCAACGTACATGCTATCTGGCTGAGCCCAGTCTACGAATCACCAATGGCTGACTTTGGTTATGATATCTCCAATTTCACTGCTATTGACCCAATATTTGGAACTATGGATGACTTTGACGAGATGATTGCCGCCATGCATGATAGAGGTATAGTAGAAATTCACAGACATAGGAACCTTTCCACACAAATCATTTCACAACCATTTTATATACACACAGATAAACATCTTAACAAGCTACACTAGCCAACTATTACGTCACTATGTCTATCAGTTAATTAAATAAAGAAAATCAGCGATTTGGGTTAAAAACAATTATGATGGGTTGTTTAATACTGAGTTACTTGAACACCATCACCGTAGTTTTAGGCTCGTATCTATGATTATTATGAACACGCCTGTATATTGAATTTGTGCTGTCAGCAAAAACATGAGTCTTTCAATTCTGAGTAAGTTAGTTGAAAATCAAATCTGGAAGTTACGGGTTCGCAAGTTATATTGATTAAAATCTGACGTATTGCACCGTATATCGACTTAAAATTATTGTAATTCCTTTCATTGCAATAAATCCCGCCATGCATAGCAATATCAAATTCCTTTTCGGGTGCATGCAAATAGCATCAAGATCGTAATGTTGGGCGCTGCAACAATGAGTAAAATAGACACAATGTCTATACAGGGAAACAATATGAGTAAAATAGACACAGTGTCTATACAGGGAAACAATATGAGTAAAATAGACACAATGTCTATACAGGGAAACAATATGAGTAAAATAGACACAGTGTCTATACAGGGAAACAATATGAGTAAAATAGACACAGTGTCTGTACAGGGAAACAATATGAGTAAAATAGACACAGT